TAATGCCCAATTTGAAAAAGCAAATCGCTCATTGCCTATGCAAAACACATCTAACCAAGTCAATAAGCTGGAAAGCACAAACATTCTTCCGTTAGTGCATGATCTCCTATCCCTTGGTATTTGATAAAACATGCTGATTATCCTGACTATGACACACTACAGTCTTGTGAGAGAATTATAGACCACATTTCCACGGAAGTGATAAAGCGTGTTCAGTGCATGTATAATGCAATCGTTTTCAATGTGCCCAACAGTACGAACATTAAAACATTGAAAAACGCACTTTTAAAGGCATGTGCAATACCAGATTCCCATTGTACCTGCAAACTACTGCGTAAATCTTCAGCTAATACATACTGTCCAATAATGTTCGAATTTAATAGCATTGTGTATGCAAGTCGCTTCGTAAACAACCAGCTTCTCTTTAGGAAAGCAAGCAGCTTTAAAATGTACGTGTTATTCACGACAGGACACCAATCCAGCGTCGTGACAAACAAAGTATCTCAGCAGGTGAAATAAGTCACCACAAGGATACAATCGGCCCCACTGATGTCAATACAAAACAACATCTAAATCTTAAAAGAAGCCCTCCACCTAGTTACCCTAAAAATGAAGCTTGTTACGGTTGCCAGTACTAAATATAGTATTTCTCCAGCTGTTAAACAACCTGAAAAGCACTCACTTGCTGCAAAAGGTACCGATAAAAATCTCACCCGAGGTCGATTCCCAATTTTTAAAAAGAAAAAACTGTATGTACAGATTGTAAATAACCTCGCCTAGATTAATAGCTGACTGGTTTTCTAGCCGGTTCCAAGCCCGGATAAAGAAGGAGGGTTGGGGCGTGGTGCTAGCAACTCCACACCCAAAACTTAACCAAATTGCTACAAAAACTTCAACGCACAAATATATTAAAAATTCTAAAACTATAAACAATGACCTTATTTTTCGCTCGAATCGGGGAGGTGAAATGACGCAGGCTGGTTAAAGCCTTCGGGAAGCCAGTCAGCCGATGTGCCTTCTTTCGATGAAAGCAAAAATAAGGATGGGGACGTGGAATATTCGTACAATGTACGAAACTGGAAAGGCTGCCCAGATGGCCGCAGAAAAGAGAAGATACAAAATAGAAGTATTGGGAATCTGCGAGAGCAGATGGAACGGATGTGGAAGGTGCCAACTATCAACTGGAGAGACAGTAATCTATTCCGGTCACACAGGGGACAACCACGAGCACACCGAGGGAGTGGCCATCAGTAGCCAAAGCTCTCATGCAGTGGCAACCAATCTCCTCCAGGATAATGACAGCCAGGTTCAACTCAAAAGGAAGGAAGGAAGGTTACAATCGTTCAGTGATATGCACCTACAAACGTCTCAGAACAAGAGAAGAAGGAGGTCTTCTACACACAACTTCAAGCAGTAATGGACAACATCCCAAATGGCGATATCAAAATCCTGATGGGTGATATGAATGCGAAGCTGGGAGGAGACAATACAAGAAGAGAACTCACCATGGGTCGTGAGGCCCTCGGTGAAATGAACGACAATGGTGAACTCTTCTCAGACTTCTGCGCCTTCAATGATTTGGTGATTGGTGGCAGTGTGTTCAAACACAGGGATATACACAAGGCGACATGGATTTCACCAGATCGATACACCGAAAACCAGATAGACATCATTTCAACCTGAAGGAAGTGCAGACGGAGCCTACTGGACAAAAGGTCGAGGAGAGGAGCAGATGTGGGTTCAGACCACTATCTAGTACAAGGAACTTTCAAGGTGACGCTACAAGCCTCAAGGATAGGTGGAGATAGGCCACAATGCAAGTTCAACACTCAAAAACTGAAGGACACAACCACGAAGGACACTTTCACTGCAACTGTCAGAGCAGAGCAGGAAACACTACGTGACATCACTGAGCAATCATGCGTGGATCACCATTGGAACTCTCTGAAGGTGATTTTCAACGAAACGTGTTCAACGGTTTTAGGAAGAAAGAAGAAACAAGACAAGGAATGGCTCTCAACAGACACCTGGAAACTAATAGAGGAGAGGAGAAAAGTGAAAGAGAAAATGATTCAATGCAAAGATGGACAAGAGAAAGAGACACTGAACTCAACTTACACAGCACTGGACAAAGAAGTGAAGAAGAGTGCCAGGAAGGACAAAAGACAATTCTACGACAACCTGGCCACTGAAGCTGAGAAAGCAGCGGGCAAAACGGACCTGAGGACACTATATCAGATAACCAAGTCCCTAGCCGGGAAGAGATCAACACAATTGAAACCTAGAAAAGACAGCCAAGGGAACCCAATTACCAAGGAAGAAAGACAGATTAAACAATGGGCGGATCACTTCAAAGAACTCTTGAACCGACCACCACCTACAACCCGTCCAGAAATACCAACAACAGCACGTACACAACTGCAAGTTGACACCAATCCTCCAACGAAAGCTGAAGTCTCGAATGCAATCAAGCTTCTGAAAGCTGGAAAAGCAGCTGGACCAGATGGAATACCCCCGGAAGCACTGAAAGCGGACCCGGAGACGACAGCAGATATGCTGACTCCATTATTGCAAAAGGTGTGGAAGGAGGGAAAGGTGCCTACTGACTGGAGGAAAGGTTACCTAGTGAAACTACCAAAGAAGGGCGACTTAGGACTCTGCAAGAACTGGCGAGGAATCATGCTCCTGTCGACACCAAGTAAAATCATGAGTCGCATCATCCTGGAGAGAATGAAGGACGCACTGGATACAGAACTCCGCAACCAGAACAAGCTGGGCTCAGGAAAGGCAAATCATGTTCTGACCAAATTGCAACTCTACGCATCATCATCGAACAAAGCATGGGATGGCAATCAAACCTCAACTTCCTTCATAGACTTTGAGAAGGCCTTCGACAGCGTTGACCGCGAAGTAATTTGCAAACGACTCGAGTACTACGGCGTTCCCCAAATATTCATCAATCTTATTCAACAGCTGTACGACAACAGCATATGTCAAGTGATCCACAACGGAAAACTCAGTGAGTCAGACAAGGGTGATTATTATCACCAATGATATTCCTAATTGTGGTGGACTGGATTATGCGCGTCAGAGAGTGGGAAACGAGAAGACGGGGATATCCTGGACTGACGTGAAGAACCTAGAAGACCTGAATTTCACGCGTGGATGATTTATGTTTGATGTCACACAAAATCGAAGACTTACAAGCGAAAACCGACAAACTGGTCGAAGAAGCAGCAAAGACAGGACTCCAGGTGAACATAGACAAGACAGAGGTTATGAAAATAACCAACCGACAACAACAACAGCAACATCCAGCGCCAACGACCATCAACGGAGGGATTTGAAAGAGGTTACTTCACTCACTTATCTAGCTAGGGAGCATTGTCTCAACTACAGGAGGAACGGAGGAGGATGTCAAATCGAGAATCAGGAAGGCGAGAAACACATACATCAACCTGAAAACCAATCTGGAAATCTTCGTCACTCAGCAACACTCAACAACAAAATTCGGATTTTCAATACAAACGTCAAGTCAGTCAGTTCTTCTATACGGATGGATCAGAAACTTGGCGAGTCACAAAGAATATTTCCAACAGGTTGAAGACCTTTATAACAACAACAACAACTGTCTTCGCTCTATACTGAAGATCAGATGGCCGGAAAGAACAAGAAGCAACAAGAAACTATGGGAACAAACAAACGAAACAAGAACCAATCGCTCAACAAATATGCAGGAGAAAGTGGAGATGGATTGGACACTCACTGAGAAGGCCACTCGCTGGGTGACATCGCGCGTCAAGCCATCGCTCGAGTGGAACTTGAAAGGGAAGCGGCGAGTGGGACGTCCAAGGGTGACATGGAGAAGATCGTGTGAAGAAGAGTTGAAACAGTATGGACTAACATGGATGCAGGTGAAAAGTACAGCAGAAGACAGAAGTAAATGGAGATGTGCAGTTGAAGCCCTGTGTTCCACTAGGAACCCAAGGGAACAATAATAATAATACAGATTGTGAATAAAGTTGAAGCCACCTCACCAAGAAATTCGTCGGTGTCAAACAAACCGTTTTGTAAGAAAGGAGAGGGGTCTAGCTTCAGCTGTTGATGTTGTAAGATGATAGGATAATTCCTTTGCGCCACTTAGCTAGTGAATGAAACTCATCAGATTTGACCACTACGGAAGAATGGAAGCTATAATCGGCTGGATAATATGATGACTCCATTGTTGCTTGGTACTTCTTCTGGAAACCAAAATCAGAGAATGACATCTGTAAAGGTTCGAAACGAAGGAGCTAGATGGTTGCCCACTCTTATACCTGAAGAATCTAAGCGATTAGGACAGTTATTTTAGAACACTTTGAAGTCGGTTGACATCATTTCCCGTAGCATTCCGCCCTAAACAGCTCGCCGTAGAAAACTGTTACAACAGTCGTGGAATAGATAGTGATCACAGGAAATCCCAACCGTAAAGAAGTCTCGTTTACCCCTTAAGAAGGATGCCATTCCTTACCTTATTATAATACCAGGAAAATGATCATACATTCCTTTTGTAAATCATTAGCTATGCAACCGAATTCATCAGTCCTTCATTCATACTGAAAACCTTCATATCTGTCATTGAAGTGATATCATAGGTATCCCTAGGGAATACGTGAGGCAATGGCGAGTGAGGAGAGAAAAAGCACCTGCGATAAAATTTGTTTTGTGACTACGTATCTGTGTTGCGCTGCCACATGGCGCATTTACCACCCTGCAGATAATAACTTCGTACAAATGGTAGGCGAATACGGTAATTTAACTCGAAAGGATGAATAATTATTGAAATTTTCCTGTTTGTAATTGCTCATATTTATTAGATTTTACGAACTTACTCTGGACAGGAAATATGTTGGGCATTGAATGTTGAGTGGTTTATTGGTTTCAGTCGCTACTCGGGACTAGGATGTCCACAAATACTCCGTCTAGCGACTTATTTTCAACTTTTTACGAGGAGGTGAAGGCTATTGAAAAAAGAGATTCTGTCTTAACACCTAAACAACAAATAGACAGACTCAATCGACCTGGTTCAACTTACTTCAATCTAAATCCATATGATGTAGGCTCAATTTAACCCTTTTCGTCCAAACGTCTTCTTAGGTGTTACAAGTTGATCCTGATACCCCAATGGCTGACATCAAAAAGAAGTACAGACAGGTTAGCTTCTTATTATTACCTCCACTAATAAATGTCAGTTGTCACTGCTAGTTCACCCTGACAAAAATCCTGACGATACTGAACGGTCTCAGAAAGCTTTTGAAGGTAATTCCGTTTTTTTACTTTGTGAAATTATTATAGAAAAGCTGTAAACAAAGCGTATAAAGCTTTAGATGATCCGGAAACCTGTCGCAAGTGCAAAGAAGTGGTTGAAGAAGCTAAAGAACTAGTTGAACAGATGGTATCTATTTTTTTGCAGTGAAGTCTTCTAGCGCTTTCAGATGATTGAAAAAAGAAAACGCCTGAAAAAATCAGGTGGTCCTACCACAATCGACGAGGATGATCCAGACAAGGTAAGCATAAGTGCTGCATATATTCCTAACTGGTACAGCATCGACACGCCATTTATGTACAAACATGCAAGTTGTTTGCAGACCTCGAAAGATTGAGAGTAGAAGAAGAATTAAAACAGTCATCTGATAGGTATGTTTCTGGATATTTAAAAAAAATGCTGTTAGCCTTGTTGATTGTATGTATTTGTTTATATCATTAACTAAATTGGAGTACATTGACTTTACTTTACAAATACTAATAAGATGCATTCATTGACTTTGTAGTGTGGCCTCATTAGTGGCTCTGAACATTCCTATAGGTAGTCGGGGACCCACGCAACAATGCGTAAAAAAAGTGCGTCATCCCAACCCCAAAACTTTAAAGGAATGAATTGGTGCTACAGTAGACATTTAATGGTATAGGACTGTTTATATGTGATTAAAACTGCTTGTGGGTCGCCATCATATATCCAACCAATGATTCTTAACATCCTGATAACCACAGCTAAGAAGTCACCCAATTTTTTAGGGGAAAGCATGGACGCAGAATGTAGATATTTTAGATAAATAATAACACTGAAGGTGAAATGAGTAAAGAAAAATATTAAAAAAATTAAGTCAGAGTACCTCTTGTTTATGTTTGGTTTGTGAAGTGTGACAGCTTGTGAACGGGTCCACTTTTGTACAAAGTGAATATGGGAGGAGTTAACTGTATGCTGTTTAACCTTCTGGAAAGAAGCGAAGTAGAGCTCCTCCATTAAAATACTACAGTCCTTGTGACTCTAAGCTCAGTATCTACCATAACAAGCGTAGTAAGAGCAGTTCCTACGTGGCTGCCTTAAACTAACTGTTGTGGATTTCACTGACTGATGGAGTCATGTTTCGGTTGATCTGACCACCACGGACTCCTCTTTTGCAACTTGATTCTATGTCAGCTAACATTGCCTGTTGAGGAAAGCCATGACATTCATCTCCCTCTTTTAAGACAGTAGTCTAATATATTAGCATTTACCACGTTGTTCCACATGACATCAAAAAAAAATTCATGAAAACACCTAGAGGAGGAGAAACGGTGTTGTTGTTTTCATGTCCTCCATGTCTATAATTCATCTCTTTCGTGACCCATAAAATATATCATCGTGGCTATGTCCATCTAACGTATGCATAATGTTCAAGTATTGGTTTTGTAGGGATTTTGTTTGATTGCATGGAGGATTTCATCATGAGCTGACATCAGTTAGAGAACCACTGGAAAACCTGGGAGTACTGGACAGCTGTTTCGTCCTAGTTTGGGACTCTTCAGCAGTATGCGCCCACCGGGATTCGAACCCAGGACCTTCTGGTTACAAGGCGAGCTCGTAGACCATTAAGCCATTGAGAGCTGATCCAATGGCCAGCTCATGAATACTAACTTCTGCCAATTCACGACATAGCGCGACCATTTCGCAATGTGGGAAGCTGTGACCAGTAGGGTACAGCAGGTTGAAGATGAGGCAGTAACTCATCGAAGAAGACATTGCGGAATGGTTGCGCTATGTCGTGAATTGGCAGAAGTTAGAATTCAAGGACCATTGGATCGGGTCCCAGTGGCTTAATGGTATACGAGCTCGCCTTGTAACCAGAAGGTCCTGGGTTCGAATCCCGGTGGGTGCGTACTGCTAAGGAGTCCCAAACTAGGACGAAACAGCTGTCCAGTACTCCCAGGTTTTCCAGTGGTTCTCTAACTGATGTCAGCTCATGATGAAATCCTCCATGTATGCATAATGTTTCGATAACACTAAGAACAAATTTCAGTTTTTTGTATACCATCTGCTCACATTTAATGTATGTAATCACAGTTTATTCGCCACTTTCCGTAGACAATATCACACCACCTGTTCACCTGTAAGCGTCCACATTTATTTATTTATTTTATTTCAGAAAGCGTAAGGCTGAACAAGAAGCCGAAGAGAAGAAACTCGTGGAATATGATAAGATATGGAGGAAGAACTATGAAGTAGGTGCATATATTTTTTTTTTGAAAAAAAAAGTTATTTATTATGTTAATTGACAAGTCTTTATTTCAATGATCCTATCTTGTAATTTGTAACACTGTCATGTGTGTCACATCATCTTTTCATCGCTTGTCTTTGAAGTTATTCGGTTACCAAAATTTGTAACGACAGAAGACAAGGAAGCGCCAGGCAACTAACAGATCGTTTATTGAGAAAATCAAGAGATATTTATAGATTTTTATGTACATTATTATTATTATTATTATTATTATTATTAGCGTTATTGTTGTTAGCAGAGAAGCAACGTCTTCTGATTGGTTGTTTTCTTTCTGAAGCTTATTCTGTCATCCATATCTTTGTGGCCGTTTCATAGAAAGTCAGGCCATATGTCTGCAAATTCTATTTTCTCACCTTAAGTTTGCTGTGATTGGTTTTTACCATCCTGAGGATTCCAACCAGTCAGGAAGCCAGTCTGCACCTTCCTACGTGGCTGGCTGCCTTAAACTAACTGTTGTGGATTTCACTGACTGATGGAGTTATGTTTCGGTTGATTTGACCACCACTGACTCTTTTGCAACTTGATTCTATGTCAGCTAACATTGTCCGTCGAGAAAGCGATGGCTAGGCATATGTATCACATATCTTAACCACCTCAACCGACGTACCTTCACATCTTCGTCGATTGATTTCCTAGTTTCTGACTAGCACTCGACTGACATCTAACCTCAATATTGCTCACCCTATTGTACCATTTCGCGGGTACCTAGGATGAAAGAAAGCTAGCTGGGTGTTTCATGTCTTCCTTGTTTCACTGGCGAGGTTTCACAGTCAGCCATGAAGGAAGACGTAGCGAACTGCTGAGCATTACACACGCTTTTTGGTCGCCAGTCAGCCGGCTATCGCGTCTACACCAGAGACGAAGTAAACTGGCAAATGCGAATAGAGCCTTCTGTATCCGTGCTGGGATTTCGTCAGCTATCAACCCGCTACCGTTGGTTGGTGCAACTTCCCAAATAAGGAAAGTTGTCAACGCGCCCCACCAACCACTCCACTCCCTATCATTAAGTTAGGAGTCAGTCAATATAGTCCAGTCATGTAGCATCATCTTACATTTGACAGCAGCACGAGCGAATCGCATGCCAAACATCCGAAGATTACTGCTCATCAAGGTGTTCAGAAGACCGTGTCTGCATTTTGTCAGCGTCTTCACCTAGGAGTCAGGACTATATCATTTGCATATTGTAAGCCAGCGAGATTATTCTTTCCCTCATAACAAGTCATTCGTTGAGTGGCTGAAGTCACTTAGGATTAAGTCCATTGGTTCATCTATGATGAAATCAAACAGAAATTGGGATAGTGAGCATCCCTGACGGACACCACTGGTTGTTCTCACAATTGTTAGATGACAACTCTCCGTAAGCTGTCACATGCCTGACTGCATGAGTTCGAGTAGAGTGCCTTGATTAGTGCAATGTATTTTCTCGGCATTCCCTTCACAGCCAAACATCGCCATAATACCTCTCGGTCGACGGGATCGACTACCGCCTTCAGATCAAGAAATATGGCGATTGTTGGATGCCTACTGTAAGTATGTCTATGTTCCAGAATCTGTCGAAGGGTGAAGATATGATCAATACATCCTCTTCCTGGCCTGAAGCATACCTGGTTCTCTCGTGTTTGTTCCTCCCGAATACCGCTTAGTCTACGCATGATTATTGAACCTTAAACTTTAGATACCATATTAATCGAGGTAATCCCCCTGTGATTATTACAGGAAGACGTGTCTCCCTTCTTGTACATGGAGATCATCAATGACTAACACCAACCCGATGGGGTTTCCTCTGATTCCCAGACGCTGCCTGATACCTTAGATAACGGAGACGGTGAACTGTCTCCACTGTCGTTGAGCACCTCTGCAGTCATTCCATCAGGTCCTGCTGCTTTGCCTCGTTTCAGACTAGTGACAGCTTTAGTAAGCTCACTTAGGGATGGAGGACCTGTGTTTTTAGATCCCATTCAGAGACGTGTTGGATGTTCGATAGGTCGAGCGTGGCTGTAAACCGAACGAATCGCTGCTGAAAGTGTTCCTTCCAGCGTTCCAGTCGTCTATCCTGAGAGCTAATTATAGTGCCATTTTTCTCAGAGATTGTCTCCACTTATCATTTGCCTTTTTACCACCTGTTTCTCTGATAAGTCTAAATAGTTGTCTGGTGTTACCTGTCGTCGATGCCTTTTCCACCTCTTTCGCTTTTGTCGGCCACCACTGTTCACGGTCGTTGCGTAGGCTTCTTAGTAGTTTGCATTTGAGCAGATTTCGCTCCTCATCACTTTCGGAGCTCGCCGGAATCAGTCTTCTTGCGTTAATCAGTTCGTGTGAGGTAGTAGAAATCCCCTGCCTCTTACTGATGTTTGATTTTAGGTTATTAACAGCCTTTACAGCTGTGTCTACAGCTAACTGTATGTTGTGCCAGGCTTCCTCAGGAGGCGGAGGAGTCTTGCTGTCAATCTCAGATACTCGTTTCACCATTTCTTCCTTAAATAGTAGAGATGCAGAGTCTCCATCTAGTTGGGGACGTAGTTGCTTCGCTGACGACAACTTTTTTCATGTCCATTTAGACTTAAGCATAAATGTGCGCAAACCAGGGCGTGATCGGATCTACGCCCGTGTTCCAGAAGGAGCGGCAGTCTTCTACTAACCCTCACCAACGATACCTTATCGCTATGTGGTCTATTTGGGTCCAGCGTTGATTTGGTGATGGAAGTCGCCAGGTTACACAATGTCTCTGTTTGTGCCTAAAGTTAGTGCTGATTAGGAACAGATGATTATCTGAACATAACTGTAGAAGACGGTCACCGTTGTCAGTTCGTCAGCAGGGAACTCTGTATGTACCACTTATGAACTTTTCAGTCTGTCCTAATTTGCCTTCTTTGGCATTGTTGAAGTCACCTGCTAAAACAAC